TGTTTGGGTTCATTGGACAGTTTTAATATAATATGAAATATATATAAAATATGCCACTGAGTCAGTTTACTGTCTGATAGAATCCCTTAAGGAAAAAGGTTGGGAATCGTTTTATGTCACCAAATTCAGTGTAGTGCTAATTAGCAAATGTTAGCCTGCTAACACACTAAAATAAAATGGTCAACATACCTGCTAAAAATCAGCTTGTTGACTTTGTGAGTTTGTTGCCAAACTAGCGTTAGCATTACAGGAAGACACAGAGAGTTGAGAGTAGCTGAGTTTCTATTTGAACATTTCTGCCTTAGATTAGAAAAGTGGAATCCAAACAGTAAAACCTCCTCCTGCTGTTTGCTGTTTGCTGTTCTCTCTCTCTCTCTCTCTCTCTCTCTCACCCGCTGACTGAAATTGACTTTAAAATCCAGCTGGTTGCTTTGAATCTTCTGCTTCTGTTTGAAATGTGTGTCCTTGTATTGTTGACTGATAAACCTCAAGCGATGCATTGTTTTTATGGAGCGAATACTGAGTCTGTCTGGATTTGGTGCTGATCCTGATGTAACTGCAGCTCAATGCAAGTGGTCCTCAAAACTTTCAGACGCCTTTTTTATACAATGCCCTATTTCCTTTATTTATGACGTTGGCCCCAATGCGTATTATAGGCATCAATACAGCTGCACATTTGTAAAAGGTCATTTCTATTTCTAAACATCATTTCATAGCAGTGCTTCAGTATCATTGGTTGAATTAAAAGTGCTGCTTTGGCAACACAATCCGGCCTGTGTTTGTTTTTAATATCATCTGTCTAAGTCATTCTACTTTAGTGGGATCATCCCTCATTTGTCATCTTTCTGCTTCTACAGCCACATTCTCATGACTCATACATACACTGTGTTCTCTCTTTATTCTTTATTCTTAAATTAGATGAGCTTCCACAAAGTGGTTGTCAGTCTCCCTGGGGTCCACACAAAAACAAAAGCAATGAAAAGAATTTAAAATCACACAGTATCGACAGAAGAGGAAAATGGAAAGCGAGCTAAACATAAAACTCAAACTTAGTGAAATGATTCATTTGAAAACAAGAAAAATAACATAAATGGTTACATATACAGTTTGTTCGTGGACCAGATGACCAGTACTTACTTAACGTGTTCTATACCCACGACAAGAACCTGTATATTAATTTCTCACTAAAGAAATGTGGCGTATTAATCCAGATGAAAAACAGAAGACTAGATTTGAGTTGAGCTTCCACAGTTAACCAAGATAATCGCACAGTGAAAGAACTACTCTGGCTGTTCTGTTCTGTGCAATCTGAAGTTTAGTTTAGATGTTTCTCAGCAGCACTTTACTGCTTGTCGCGGTGTAAAGACGTATCGAAACGAGTCGGTGATCGGTTTAACGTTACAGATGCGGCTACATCTGTGCACGGACGCCTGGATCAATCTGAAGGTACCATGAACCGGTCGATGGTCTGATTATAAAGTTATGAATCAGTTGGCCGAAGCTTTGCTGCGAACAGCGTCTCCACTGTGAAACAACAAGGGCTCCTAAAAGTAAAGGTCATCATAATAAAAACATATTAATGTATTCTTGTGTGCAGCCCAAACCAACATGTCATAAACTCCAAAGACAGCAGGGTGGAGCTGATGAACAGTTCCATAAACCTCTAAGTCATATCAGTCTGATCGTAAGCCACCAATCCAATTACACTTTCACAGACAGGGACACTTTTAAAAGCTTAGAATAAACTTTATTTACTGCTTTTTGTTGACACAGTTGTATGTAAAACTAAATGATTTCAAGGTATTGTAGTTCAAGTTTACACCCACAGAGTTTATGCAGTATTCACACCCCATATTCAGAGGTCTCTCTTCACTATTAACTCACAAAGAAACAAAACAAAGTGTTAAGTATAGTTTGTTTTTCTTTAATGATCCACTGTGAAACATTTAGGAGGATCTATTGGATAATATTCATCGGTATGTTTTCATTACACCTGAAAATAAGAATCATTGTGTTTTTGTTACCTGAGAATGAGACGTTTTTATCTACAGATAAAACGAATCCACCATGTTGAACCGCCATGTTTCTACAGTAGTCAAATAAATATAATATAATAATAATATATAAATAGACAAATACCCCCCATATTATAATAACCCTAAGCTTCAACTCATTAAAATACAGTTTAAACCTTTTTAGTAAGATCTGTAATATTCTGTGTATTATCAGCTTGGTCCAGTAATATGAATCTCTTGTGCATCGTATTATTTTATGTTTTGCCCCAAATTTATCGGGACATATTTGATATGTTTGGATCTCTACTAGAATTTAAAATAAAGTTTTCTGTGCTTGAATGATGTTTGTGACGACTGACCTGTCGGTAGGTCAGTGAGAAACAAAGACAAACAAGAAAATAGACACTTCATTATACTGAGAAATGTTTGTGCTCTAGAAATGTATGAAATGTATGAAAGATGGGCAAGAGGGAAAGAAACTAATACGTTAACCTGGTTCGTGAACTTCCTATAAAGTGACCTTTCCTCGTTTTCTTTCTGTTTCTGGACCTCATTGTGTGTGTTTATGTATGTGTGTGTGTGTGAGTAATGATTAATACCCCAGGAGATTGTGTGACATTTGATTTGGCAAGGCGTGGCCGGGGAAGTGCTCACTCAGCACAAACGTAAATCTACCTCACCGATAGAGTGAAGGTGGATGATGACATACAGACCCCGAACCTGACGACACAGAACAACACGAAGACTCAACACGGCAAATGCACAAATGCAAATTCAGTTTATTTTAAGATGTGTTTGAGAAAGTCACACAACCAGAGTTGGTTGTATTGTACATAAGGTAAAATGACCTTGAATACATGTGTGCTTTTATATTGTCAGTCAAAAAGAGACTTTAAATTAGTTAAATACACCTTAAAGTAAAATTAAACTCAAACAAAGTGGATAAATTACGTGCTCATTTAACTTAAACCTGCATTCTTTCTAATGACCAGCAGGGGGCAGCTCCATAAGCTGCACAAAATAACTTTGATAGTATTGAGTCTTATGAAGAAATGAGCTGACTTCTCAGTTGATTTATGAGCTCAGTAAACAGTTTTCTGATGAGTTTATGGTCTTAGTCTCTAGTTTCAGTCTTCTTCCATACAGCATGATGATCATTTAGTAAATGATGGTTCCAGTTCCACCAGAAGCAACGTGGCACAGAGACAGATCGCACTGGCAAGAAGTCAGACAGAAATGGCAGAGAGAAAACGGGCAATTTACAAGTTTAAATACAGCATGCTGCACGCTACATCAACATTAATTTGATTTTGCAAGTTTTATGAATTTCTGATTCCGGTAAAACAGACTGAGAACTAAATGAGCAGATTTGGCAGCTAAAACCTACCTGCTGTTGAAACTGTGTCTCACACTAGAGCGGTTACGTTGATTTATGCCACATAAAGAACTACTGTTTTCTTTCAGAGACACAGACTGAGGGGCTAAATCCACATACAAACCATGATGTGACACAAATATATACTGAATACTGTTCCATCCACCCAGGCAGCGCTGCAGCTGTGATGGAGACCAGGCGGTTTCAACACAGTCCAGTTGAAAGTCAGCACAGAGCCTCCTCCTCCTCCTCTTCCTCCTCTCTCAGTCCTTCTGCCTCTCTGTCACTTTCTTGTGATTTATTCATGGCTGCACCGGGGACAGAAAGATCAATAGTTTCTGAAAGAAAAATGAGTTAGCGTAAGGCCACGATGCCACAGGGAGGGAGGAAGAAAGAGAGAAGTTCACTGTAAGTTCAGAGGGGATGTGAAAGTTGAGGAGGCCATGCCAGGAAATCTGCTCCTCACTTCACTTAACTGCTGGCGCTTTTGCCTCCAAAGAGCAGACATTTTAAAAAATAACATTATCAGCTCTACTTATGACACCCTGGGAGCGTTAATTTGTCACATTACATTTCTTTTACACCTTGAAAGTGGGCTGCTGGCACTTTGAAACACCAGCTGGTTTCCTCTTCTGTGAAAACCGCTGGTGGTGACGAGGATTAGAGAGCGATCTATTTGCATTCTTGGCTTGCTTCTTTGCAAATGTCAGCTAGTGGCGATGGCAGATGAGGCTAACGCGACGGGGCAAGAAGCTAACATTGGCACGGCTAACGGGAAAGAACAGAAAAACCTTACTGTTGATCTCATTTTAAAGCTCTCATGTATTATTTCAAGATGGCTACCACTATTGCTAGCCTTGTAGTTACATCAGATAAATCAAACTACATAATAATCATATAATAATCGTAAACAATACTCCTTTTTTAATAAGATAGTTTGTAATATTGACTTTCCTTTAGATGTATCTGCCATTTTGCCACCGGTTTATTGACAGTTTTGTGGTCCTTTTTGCCAACTGGGAGATATTTAAGCATAAGTTTAATAATATCTTTGGCTGGCTTGATCAATTTTTGTCACTTGAGCTTTAGGAAATTATTCAAATGCAGCAAAACCAACAGCAAATCTAATGTCAGCTAACAGGACACAAAGCTCACACTGGCAGGGCTAAGATACTGTACAAACAGTCCACTGTTAGCTCTAATAACATTGCTGGGTCTGTTCCAATTTACTATGCACAAAGCGAAACGTTTATCATGTATTGATTTTGCATACTGAGGCCATACACAGACGTTATTGTGTATTAGTCACATTGCCGATGATTGATTTCATTTTTTTTTAGGTTGTTACTCTTCAAACTAGAGTAGTACACTACAGTAAGTAGTGTTACTGTATGATTCCCCTGAGAAATAAACTTTAATAAAAGCAACATAAAAAGCTGAATTTGAATGGTTACATGTGAGTAATAACATGACACATTGAAAGTGTGTTAAACTCACATTTGTACACACATACACACATCTTTCTGTGTGTGTGTGTGTGTGTTTGTGTGTAAAATTGCCTGT